CTAAACTTCGCTCACCTTTCACCCCGATTTCAACAAATGACGATCGACATTTCGTTCGTGCCGCAGATCATCGGGAAGTCCCCACGGCAGCACATTATCGCCAATACGAAAAACGCCTCTTCCTCATCCTTACTTATGTTCAGTGTATATGTGTGCATTTTTGATGCCTGGATTTTTCACTGTATATGTATATACGTTTGTGAAAATGGTGTAAATTAAAATGTCTTTTGTTTGCTAAATCTGTATCTTTCGAGCTGGGTAATTTAAATTGGCGCACAGGCTGATGGTCCGTGCGCGGACTCTAATTCGGTGAGCGATTTTCCGGACTCTAAATCACTTTCCTCTCCCGGACTCTAAATTTTCCGCATGGCGCAATGCTCACTTACGTTGGGCGAGTCCCCCACGTCGGCGAAGGTGTATAGAGTATCGAGCGTGTGTCGTACCGCCTCCTCCCTGGCCTCTCCGCCTTGACTGCCCCAAAAGCGAGAAAAGCGAGCGGCTCGTTCGCGGTTGCTCAGATGCACCGAATTTGAATTGCGCGCTACGCGTTGCCATAGCTCGTAACAATTTAGACGCCTCGTCCATGGAACTAACGCGTCATTAGAGCGCCTTGGGTGCCCTTAGTAGCGTCCCGTCGCTGCGCTTCGAAACGCCGACAGCCCGGGGCCCCCGCGGCTCTCTATGCGCGTAGTTTTCCTGGACTCGGCATCTAACTTATAGTTATTGGTTGTCAATGACGATTGTCAACGACACAATTAGCAGCATCATGATCCCCGAGTTTCACAGCACCTATTCCCATCCTATCCACGGATCACACGGTGTCTAAGTGTAGACACTAGGACTGACGACCTATGCCGTCGCTTAGCTTCCTTCGTGCGCAGGCGTGACATCGAAGAGTCCTGCAGCATGTGGGCGTTATTTGGAAATTCCTTCCGCGTGCGGTGCTACACCTTCGGTGCCAGTTTTTGAAGCGGAGCTGATATATCATCATGGCTACAGTAGGAGACTCTAGCGCCGCGATGGACGTCGCCCCCGACACAGAGAATGCGGGAAAGCAGCCGTCTCAGATGCTGAGCGAACGTGAAGCAGAGAAAGAAGATGAGAGATAGTGCCGATTTGTCGTTTGAGATGACCTATTTTCTGTCTTGGCTAGCTAGAGGACAGTGAATGCAACTTTCGACTAGTGTTGTAATGAAGTAAAGTCGTTTAGTAGTGCATACCCACATTTATGTTTCGCTTACCTAAGAATCTTTCAAATATGAAATCAGCAGAGAGAGGATTAGCTTGTAGCCCAAACAGCACTTGAAAAGTGTTTGCCGGAACCAGAAACACAGTTACACATTACACCCAAAACACCCACTGAAGACAATATTCATGTTGGGTCCACAGAGTGGGAGGCACACACTATCAATGAATACTGTCCTTACATCACGCCACTCTGTCAGAGGAGCTAGTTGTGTGCAACATTCAACATTCCTAATCTGTGATGCATGTAGCTATATGTATTGTATGTAATCAAGTAGCTGTATATACCTGCAAGTGGAAAGGGCCCTCTATCTTTTATGCGGACCAACTCACTGTTCCTCAATCTGTATAATGTCCCCACCTACCACAACTTTCAGCGAGTTCGGGTGTGCACTTTAGTAAATGCTAGCTCTCTAGTGGTTCATGTTCATGATCACGCATCCCATTCAAATGTAACTGGTGGGTTACACAGTGTTTTGTCCGATGCCTCACACAAGAAGTTTTGCTGCTTGTTTGGCGAGGATAGGAATGGTGCAACGAAATAGAAGAAAATTACCATTCCATACTACAACCTTGTAAAAGTATTAGAGATAGTTGTTTGTCCTTGTGCCCACTCTTTGTGCCTATAAGAAATGCGAAATTGTTCAACGCACAACAACAACAAATAATGGAAGTCCTCTTGTTTATGGGGATCATAGGAAAATTTCCAAACATGAAGAAAGAGAGAAGAGGAGAGACACAGAGAAGTTAATTGCAGCATGCGGTGCTAGCCATATATTGCTATACTAAACATGCGAAATAAGCTATGCACAAGTTTTATTCTGGGCAGTGTATCATTTGTTGCAAGTATGCCACTCGTATTCGCAATGTGCACAGACAAAATGCATTCACCAAGGAATGGGATCTCAGTTTAGTTACGCATCCATGTGTGCTAACAGCGGGGCGGGTTCTGTCGACACTAATGGACTCTAGAATCCACACGCTGACATGAGAGGTACGCTTGCGCTTTGCCGATACAGCCGTTTGTCGATATATCTTTTACTATACGCTTGTGTAAGAAAAATACATACATACAGTAAGGAAGAAAAAACGAATAAACATACTGCAGTAGAGCTTCAACAAAACTAGTTTAAGACTTCAAAAAATTCTAGTGCATGATAGTAGCGATATTACAGAAACACAGGCAGTGTAAAGGTATGAAAGGTATCACAGATAATCTAAGATACATAAAAGGCACAAATATCTGATGTACTAAAATAAACCAATTTGAAAAAAAATAGGTTAATTACTTAATTCTAATGTGAGTTTTGCGTTCCATTGGTATCTTCTGGTATTAGCATTGTCGTTGTGTTTCGAGGTGTTTTCACATGAATAGTTGAACTCGATTGTTAGCTAAGTGTCCTGACGGATATGTGCCTCATCTTTGGCACTATGGCATAGTGGGTTTTTAACCTCTCCGTTCCTTTGTCCCCTTCTGTCCTTTCCATCCAAATGACGATATTTACTTGCCATTCTCATTCAAATCCTGCTTACTACTGCACACTGTCTTCAACCAACATACACCCATCATCGTCCAAACTGCAACAACTGATTGGTAGTCCTAGTTCTCTCTCTCCTGCTCACCGTTGTTAGTGATGGATGTAGGTATGTCCGTTGGCATCAAATCTAGAATTCCTATATTGCTAAAGTCAGCATACTAATACATTTTCCATTTCTACTGAAAAGATATTCCCCCTAGGCGGTGCTTAATATTATTAATATTTAATAATTTTTATTTTTTTAATTATAATATCTATTAATTATTTTAAATTATTTATTAATTATTTTTTTATCATTATTGGAACCCTGCCGCCGGCCCTACTACCAAGCTGCCATGGACAGTCAAGTGCCTGGTTGAGTATTGTGATGCGATGGTTGCAGAGTGTCGCAGACCTCCACTCTGTTGATTAGTGTGTTGTAGGATAGGCCATGGTGCGTGGACTGCAGTTGTCCGCAGTGCCCTGTGAACGCTTCACTGAACTTCGCTATGACGCGACGCCTCAGAGAGTGAATTTCCTGGTATCATCACTGCAAGTGGTTGGCAGCGCACAAACACTGTGTTATGCAGAAGAGAGGCTACCCACCCTAGTGGTGTGCAGATCAAGTCCGCTTTCTCTGGTCCTGGTATGTGTTCGATATGATCGCAGCTCTCATGTCAATGCCGTCAAACACCTTCATACGATTAGAATTCCACTCACAAACAACCATTTCACCATTTTGGCAAACGCAATGTTACGTGGCATCTTGATCCCACCATGGTCTTGACATGGCTCCCTTTAAACTGATCGTTCTCGTACTTCACTTCTCCTAATGTCTGATATGCTGACTCAAGTCTGCACACACTACACTAATCTTCTCTCTCCGGATCCACACCATTGCTGAGGTTTGAACTGCCACTCGCTGCTCTCCCGTGCCCTCTCCTCCACGGTCTCTTCCTCGTCATCGACAGCACCTCCTCTTGTTGTGCCACCTGCAGACTCCCCTCCACAAACTCCACACAAGCTGCTCAGCGGCTGCTGCCTGCCTCATCTCGTGTCCGTCATCCGGGCCGCAGCTCCTTCTTCCCCATGACACACCTGACCATCGATCTGGGATAGCTCCTCTGCGAGCATCTAGGATTGCCTGGAGCTTGTCTACTCTCAGCTTCACCTGTGCCTTTGCCTCTATACCCTGTCCGTCTACCTGCTAGATCTTGCCTTCAGCTGTGGCAATGGTGTGCTCCTACACTGGCAGCTCGATTTGACGGGACCTAGGCATGCAAGATGGCATCTCTGTGCTTGGGAATGTGTCTGGGACAAGGTTTTAGTTGTGGTCTGCGATGGTCTTGACGGTGCTAGTCGCGACAAATCAACCGTCCGTCGCACGTCTCGCAGTAGATCTTGTTCGACTTTGTTGCATGTTTCGAACACGTGGAGCTCACCTTTTTGGTGTCACCATTTTCGACGCCGTTTCTTTGACCTCATCGAGGCTAGCGATTTCGTGCCCCTGTAATTCCTTCCACTGTGCCGTGCATGTAAGACAGAGCTGGCAAATGACTGGCCGCAGTCTCGACAGAGAGCCCTTCACCTCTCCCTCCCCTGCATTTATCGCACTGCGCCTTCTCCGGGTCCCGCGACCTCCATTCCATCCAGACCTCTCTCACCTCGAAAAGGTGCTGGATGTAGAAGGCAGCGGGGAGGCTGGACACACCCCCTTCAGGGAGAGGGGCGGGCTTGCGGCATTTGGGGCACGGGCTCTCAGTTTGTCACTCTCCGTGTCCCCGACCAGTTTCTCCAGACAGGCCTCGCGAAGACGTGGAGACAGGGCAGCACTCTGGGTCTCCGGTACTCCTCCAGAACACTACCGAACACGACAGCTGGTCGATAGCTTCTCCAGCGCTTGCTGTGCTGGATTTTGGGGCTTTTTCGACGTGGTGTGCGATTTGGTGCCTTTTTCAGCCATTGCTGCAGAGTACACAAAGGACAGATTATGTGTGCAGGCCCTGATGCATTGGTCATCATTGGGTCTGTTACAAGGTTGAAACTAGAAGGCCCTTCGGTAGTTTTGTAGATTAACCTCCCAGCATGCTACTGTATCTCAGCACCATTTAAACCCCTCCACGCTCCATGAAGTCCCACCCATACTCTATGGCTTTATGCAATAGCTGCACACACACATTTTTGTTTCCTTACCTAAGAATCTTTCAAATGTGAAATCAGCAGAGAGAGGATTAGCTTGTAGCCCAAAACAGCCCTTGAAAAGTGTTTGCCGGACCAGAAACAAAGTTACACCCCAAAAACCAACAGAAGACAATATTCATGGATTGGGTCCACGGAGTGCGAGGCACGCACTATCAATGAATACTGTCCTTACAATCACGCCACTCTGTCAGGAGAGGTTGTGTGCACATTCAACATTCCTAATCCATTGATGCATGTAGCTATATGTATGTAATCAAGTACTGTTTATAGCTGCAAGTGGAAAGGGCCCAAGCTTGTATTCAGACCAACTCACTTTTCCTCAATATAATGTCCCCACCTACCACAACATTCAGTGAGTTCGGGTTTGCACTTAGGTAAATGCTAGCTTCCTATAGTGGTTCATGATCGACGCATCCATTCAAATGTACTGGTGGGTTACACAGGTGTTTTTCGATGCCTACAACAAGAAGTTTGGCTCTGACGGATCCCACGAGGCACTGGACTGGAAGGAATGCACTGAGAGAGTTGAAGAGTTCAAGAGACGGTTCATACATCAGAATATCATTGACACTGAGATCGATGAAATGTCGTATCCTTTTTTACACTGTTGACTATACTTGGTAGAGCCCTCTCTAGAACACAGGGTGCTCTGCCTTGCTCTTTATGAGTGATTCAGCCCAGCCAGCTGAGCTGCCTCAGTAGCTCAGTTGGTAGAGCCCTCTCTAGAACACAGAGTGCTCTGCCTTGCTCTGTATGAGTGATTCGGCCCAGCCAGCTGAGCTGCCTCAGTAGCTCAGTTGGTAGAGCCCTCTCTAGAACACAGAGTGCTCAGCCTTGCTCTGTATGAGTGATTCAGGCGAGCTGCACTCAGTAGCTCAGTTTGTAGAGCCCTCTCTAGAACACAGAGTGCCCTGCCTTGCTCTGTATTAGTGATTATTCAGCCCAGCCAGCTGAGCTGCCTCAGTAGCTCAGTTTGTAGAGCCCTCTCTAGAACACAGAGTGCTCTGCCTTGCTCGATCTGTATGAGTGATTCGGCCCAGCCAGCTGAGCTGCCTCAGTAGCTCAGTTGGTAGAGCCCTCTCTAGAACACAGAGTGCTCTGCCTTGCTCTGTATGAGTGATTCAGCCCAGCCAGCTGAGCTGTCTCAGTAGCTCAGTTGGTAGAGCCCTCTCTAGAGCACAGAGATCTCCTTAACACAAAAAACCTAGAATGATGCAGTGGCTTGGATCTCTTCAGATTCATGATTTCTACAGCACAAAGCAGAGACTGTTAAGTGCACAACGTTCAGAAGAAGAACTGCTAATTAAAGGGGCTGAACCCCCAGTAGGGAAAGAGAAAACTGGGACAAAAGAAGACACAAACGTTTCTGAAGAATCAGAATGATGTATGACATATCGAATATTAAATAACGTGAATTGTATCGAATATTAAATCACATAATTATTTTTAAAATTATGCCTTTGTTGTAATTAGATATTTATAATCTATGAAAGAAATGTGAATTTTCTTTGCAAAATTCTAAAACAGCAAATCTCTAGTAGTGTATGTATGTTTCTCCATAGGAACTGTATTTTAGTCTTTTTGTTCCATAGGAAATACGAGGAGGACAGTATGAGACACATTATATCATTCACAGTCAGTCAGATTTTACAGCAACTGTATCAGTGCAGTTTCTTCTTTTGTTCAGTGTGATGCTCCCTTTCTTGCAAGTCGCTCGTCTCAGCCGCAAATATTGAATTCAACGACACAAGAAAAGAGAGAGGGAGAGAGAGAGGGAGAAAATGGGAAGGAATTGCAAACTAGCACAAAGACTAAAACTGAGAGCAGCGAAGTAGGAAATGATGCTGCAAAGTGTGGTGATGAACAGAACGTAAAGATGGAAGACGGAAATGCTGTTGAAAAGAGTGACAGTGGTGCTGACTGTGGACACATGGGGAAAGAAGAGAGCAAACAATCTGCAAAGAAAGTCGAATTCATGACTTTGAAAGTATGTAAAGCCCTTTAGCCATACGTAGCTGTTTTGCCTTGTTGCAAGAATATTTTTCGTTTGAGCGTTTGCGGGACCAACTACAACATTTTCTGCACAAAAGATCGCAATTGTGGTTCATTTTGCAAGTTTCCTCTGTAAAAATCCTTTAAAACCTGCAAAATTAACTTCAAATTGAGGGAAGCACGAAAACACACGTTTTTTCTGCATAATTTCACTCACCTTCTCAACACTATCTTTTAGAAAACTTTGTTCTTTTGTTGCTAACAGGTCAAAGGTCAGAGCTTCATGATTCACCAGATTCGGAAGATGGTGGGTCTCGTTATCGCCATAGTGAGAGGGTTTGCCCCGGAGACGACGCTCATTGAGGCTTTTCAAAAGGGGAAGGTTGATATTCCTAGAGCACCTGCATTGGGACTACTTCTGGAGAATGTGAGCCGTTCATATGTACTATACCAACTTAATCACTATCAAATTACTGGTCGATGATATTCTACTAGTACTAGCGGCTCAAGATGAGATTTAAGGTCAGATTCAGAAGATTGCGAAGGAAAATTTCGAAACATGAATACACAGAGGAATTATGTGCACATGCGGTGCTGCCATATAATTATTGCTATAATGCGAAATAAGCTACACAAGTTATTTTGCGGAGTGCACTAACGTATCATTTGTATGCAAGTATGCCGCTCTGCACCAATGTGCACGACGAAAGTGCAGTCACCAAGGAATGGTGATCTCGCGTAGTTACGCAACCATGTGCACACAGGGGGCGGGGTCAGTCTGAACCCAATGGACTCTAGATCCACCGCTGACGTTGAGAGGTACGCTTGCGCTTGCCGATTACAGCAGTTTCCAATATATTTTACTAGCCTTGTGTAAAAAAACTAAACGATTTACATAGATACAGTAGAGGAAGAAAAAACAAAACAATAGAGCTTCAACAAAATTAGGTACGACTTACAAAAAAGCTAGTGCATGATGTGGCGATATTACAGACACAGGCAGTGTAAAGGTATAAATGCATCACAGATAATCTGAGGTACATAAAATAAACAATACCAATTGGAAAAATATGTTAATTGTAATGTGAGTGTTTGCGTTCCCATGGTAGCTTCTTTGTATTAGCATTGTGTTGTGTGAGAGGCGTTTCACTTGAATATTTGAACTCGATTGTTGTATGTGTCACTGACGTAGATGTAGCCGTCATCTCTGGCAGCTATGGCATATGGATCTTTGAACTCTCCGTCTTTGTCCCCTTTCTTCCCAAATGACATGATGTACTTGCCATTCTCATCAAATACTGATACTCTGTCACAGCTGAATTCAACCACATACACCCAGTCATCAGGTCCAACTGCCACACTGATTGGTTGTCCTAGTCTCTCTCCTGCTCCGGTGTTAGTGATGGATGATAGGTGATGTCCATTGGCATCAAAAATCTGAACTCTGTTATTGCTAGAGTCAGCTACTAATACATTTCCATTTCTACTGACAGATATTCCCTCAGGCATGTTGAATTGACTGCCTCACTTCCCCTACTACCAAAGCTGCCATGGAATGTCAAGTCATGGTTGAGGATTGTGATGCGATGGTTGCAGTGTCACAGACATACACTCTGTTGTTGGTATGGTTGTAGGCTATGGCCCATGGTGTGTCGAACTGCAGTTGTCCACTGCCCTTTGAACCCACTGATGCTATGAACCGACCCTCAAGAGTGAATTTCTTCACACAGTGGCAGGCAGCCACAAACACTGTGTTATCAGAAGAGATGGCTACTCCTAGTGGTCTGTCAAGTCTGCTTTCCTCTGGTCCTGTGTGTCCAAATGATCGCAGCAGTCTGTGATTGCCGTCAAACACCTTCATACAATTAGAACCCTCTCACAAACAACCATTTCACCAGTTTTGGCAAAAGCAATGTGACGTGGTCTGTTGATCCCACCAATGGTCTTGACATGGTCCCTTTGAACCTTGAACAAACTTCACCTCTCCTAGTGTTCTGACATGCTGAGCTCAAGTCTGCACACACTACACTAATCTCCTTCTCTGGACCCAACACCAGTTGCTGAGGTTTGAACTCGTCTGCCATCTCCCGTGCCCTCCCTCCACTTGTCTCTTCATCGACAGCACCTCCTCTTGTGTGCCACTCTGCAGACTCCCCTCCACAAACTCCACACAGCTGCTCAGCTGGGCCTGCCTCAACTCGTGTCCGTCGATCCGGGCCGCCAGCTCCTTCTTCCCCTGACACACCTGACCATCTATCTGGGAGTGAAGCTCCCTTCTGCGAGCATCTAGGATTGCCTGGAGCTTGTCTACTTCAGCATTCACCTCTGCCTTTGCCTCTATACCCTGTCCGTCTAGCCTGCTAGATCTTGCCTTCAGCTGTGCAATGGTGCTCCCTACACTAGCAAGCTCAGATTTGACGGGACGTAGGCAAGCAAGGATGGCATCTCTGTGTTTCGGGAAGGCATCGGGGATGAGGTCGTAGTTGTGGTCGCGATGGGTCTTGACGGTGCAGTCGCGACAAATCAACTCGTCGCACGTCTCGCAGTAGATCTTGATCGGCTCTGTTGCGTGTTTCGAACACGTGGAGCTCACCTTTTTGGGTGTCACCATTTTCGACGCCGTTTCTTGCACCTCGTCGAGGCTAGCGATTTCGTGCCCCTGTAATTCCTTCCACTTGCCATGCATGGTAAGACAGAGCTGGCAAATGAACTGGCCGCAGTCCCGACAGAAACCCTTCACCTCTCCCTCCCCGCATTTATCGCACTGCGCCTTCTCCGGGTCCCGCACTTTCTCCAAGACCTCTCTCACCTCGAAAAGGTGCTGGATGTAGAAGGCGGCGGGGAGGCTGGACACGCCCCCTTCAGGGAGAGGGGCGGGCTTGCGGCAGTTGGGGCACGGGGCGCTCAGTTTGTCTCTCTGTGTCCCGACCAGTTTCTCCAGACAGGCCTCGCAGAAGACGTGGAGACAGGGCAGCACTCTGGGTCTCCGGTACTCCTCCAGACACACCGAACACGACAGCTGGTGTGATAGCTTCTCCAGCGCTTGCTGTGCCGGATTTTGGGGCTTTTTCGACGTGGTGTGCGATTTTGTGCGTTTTTCAGCCATTGCTGCAGAGTACACAAAGGATAGATTATGTATGCAGGCCCTGATGCATTGTTCATCATTGGGTCTGTTACAAGGTTGAAACTAGAAGGCCCTTTGGCAGTTTTGTAGATTAAGCTCCCAGCATGCTACTGTAGCTCAGCACCATTTAAACCCCTCCACGCTCCATAAAGTCCCACCCATACTCTATAGCTTTATGCAATAGCTACACACACATTTTTGTTTCCTTACCTAAGAATCTTTCAAATATGAAATCAGCAGAGAGAGGATTAGCTTGTAGCCCAAAAACAGCCCTTGAAAAGTGTTTGCCGGAACCAGAAACACAGTTACACCCCAAAAACCCACAGAAGACAATATTCATGGATTGGGTCCACAGAGTGGGAGGCATGCACTATCAATGAATACTGTCCTTACAATCACGCCACTCTGTCAGGAGAGGTTGTGTGCACATTCAACATTCCTAATCCATTGATGCATGTAGCTATATGTATGTAATCAAGTACTGTATATAGCTGCAAGTGGAAAGGGCTCTAGCTTGTATATTCAGACCAACTCACTTTTCCTCAATCTGTATAATGTATAATGTCCCCACCTACCACAACTTTCAGGAGTTTCGGGTGTGCACTTAGGTAAATGCTAGCTTACAGTGGTTCATGATCAACGCATCCATTCAAATGTACTGGTGGGTTACACAGGTGTTTTTCGATGCCTACAACAAGAAGTTTGGCTCTGACGGATCCCACGAGGCACTGGACTGGAAGGAATGCACTGAGAGAGTTGAAGAGTTCAAGAGACAGTTCATACATCAGAATATCATTGACACTGAGATCGATGATATGTCGTATCCTTTTTTACACTGCTGACTATACTTGGTAGAGCCCTCTCTAGAACACAGAGTGCTCTGCCTTGCTCTGTATGAGTGATTCAGCCCAGCCAGCTGAGCTGCCTCAGTAGCTCAGTTGGTAGAGCCCTCTCTAGAACACAGGGTGCTCTGCCTTGCTCTGTATGAGTGATTCAGCCCAGCCAGCTGAGCTGCTCAGTAGCTCAGTTGGTAGAGCCCTCTCTAGAACACAGAGATCTCCTTAACACAAAAAAATAACCTAGAATGATGCAGTGGCTTGGATCTCTTCAGATTCACGATTTCTACAGCACAAAGCAGAGACTGTTAAGTGCACAACGTTCAGAAGAAGAACTGCTAATTAAAGGGGCTGAACCCCCAGTAGGGAAAGAGAAAACTGGGACAAAAGAAGACATGAACGTTTCTGAAGAATCGAATAATGATGTGTGACATATCGAATACTAAATCACGTAAATTGTATCGAATATTAAATCACATAATTATTTTTTTTAAAGTTATGCCTAAGTTGTAACTAATCAGAGAAATAGAGTCTGAAATATGCCTCTTTTCTGCTCTGCTTCTTTAGTTCACTCTCACTCTTCAGCTGGTGTGTGTGTGTGTGTGTGTGTGTGTGTTTGGGAGGGACAAAAGGATAGACGGGTATTATTACAGTTAAGGGAACCACGACACTATGCAATTTAAGAGCTTTACACAGAGGGGAGCTAAACTATATTGTATCGTGTAATGTGTATTGTACCATGATCTTTGGGTCTTTTCCTGGAAACTTGTGATGGTGAACTCCAGTGCAATCTCTTACCTTCTCATACTTTGCCTCCCTGAGTTAATAATACAGCCACAAGATTTTAAATATGCACTACCAACACACACCATAATAAACTTTATTACTGTGTGAACATGTGTAGCTACTACTATAGTGACATTCATGTAAGCAAACATAGCTACCCTACTCACTTTTTTTATAACTCTTCTCCGTCATTAACCATACAGATTATTGTTACTTTTTGCTAGAAGTTGTTTTTATCCTTTGTTCTTGGTGACATTTGCTGCAGAGGATCTTCTTTCCTCTCTGGAAATAGTCTCCAACCGTCTCCTGCTTGCAATGACTGCACTGCGATAGTAATAGACACAATACATCATTAATCACTATCTCCTGCTTGCGAATGCATCATTAAAAACTGTCTCTTGCTGATAGCTACACTGCAATAGTGCAGAATGCATTACCTCTTGCTTGCAACGACTATTACACTATGTACCATACTAAGTCCTACCGTACTCAGTGATCCTTGCGAGCATTTTAATTGGTGTAGGGGGGATAGTCATGCACACACATTCACATCTTGTGTAAAGACCAGTTGCTTTACTTCACAATAATTATGAAGGATTCACTTTACAGAACCTTGCACTGGCACCTGCATTGGCACCATGGATATTGGCGGGTATTTCTATAATCTTGAATAAACTATGCAGCCCCTATAGTTGGTGGTTTATATCCAAGCTGGACCACTAAACTAGCCATGAAGATACCTCTTCTGGGATCCCATTAGTGCACTTCATTACGACGCCGTTGCGAATCTTTCTGCTGTAGCCGAAAGCTTCGTCCATTTCCACCTGACGTCCTTGTGTCACACTGTGCTCGTATGTCCCCGGCCTGCATAGTAGAGTAGGCTATACATGAGTGGAACCTTGTAATTCAGACAACAATGGGACTGAAAAAAGTTTTTTCTTCGCAAAATTTTCACTTGCTTCTGAATGGGCTTAGTGCACATCAATATAACTGATCATTGGGAGGTGAAAGTTTTATTTTTTAATAATCATAGCCAAAAAGCTAGTACAGTTGTCCCTGAATTCACACAAAATTAAAGAAACACCGAGCATAAAACTTTAGTGCAGTTTTGATGAAGTATGTAATTTGTTGCGTTACCAGACTTGTGCGTGACTTACACCCTTTCCCTACTCTGACTGAGTCATAAAAATCTCCACGTGCATACTATACATGAAGTTATATTGTACGTTATGAATTAGACAAAATATCTTAAGTATGGATGCCACACAGTCAACAAAAAATGCGGTGCGTCTAACCCTGGATCTCTAAAGTCCTCATCTCTCTCGGTCCATCGTGGATTGACGCAGTTGAACGCTGCCTTGTTCTGACCACCACCGTGACAGACCGGTACGGTCTGGTAGTCTGGCGGGCCCGGTACGGCATTGTTGCGAACCAGAGACGGTCGACCGGTGAGCTGAGCTCCAAAGTACCAGCCACGTCTGCTGCGTGGGACCGAGTCCAGTGGCTTCAGAAACTCACTCAACTGAGAAACGACATCATTGCAATAGTATGTGTTGGCACAGGACATTGGGAAAAGCCTGGATCATGATGGTAACCAGCTGTGTGGAGCCTCCTAGTAAGGCCCACACTGGGACTATTTATTATATATGGAGACACTAGGATATAACAAATTAGGTGTCCTTAGAATCCATGCAGCTGATATATAGTTGAATTGCACTCTCTTTGTATATTTAGGGGGGGACAGAAAAATTTTGTTGAGGTATATAGGGATAGGTGCAACAGCAAGAAGACAGTACCATTCCATACACCAAATGTAGTCAAAGTATTAGGGAAAGTTGGTTTTTTGTCCTCGCCCACTCTTGTGCCTATAAAAAAATGCGAAATTGTTGACACCCTTATTTTGGGGGGATAGACTTGCGAAATTTGCGCAGATAGATAAATTACCGTTCCATACTAAAACCTTAGTAAAAGTATTAAGATAGTTGGTTTGTCTCTTTGCCCACTCTTGCTGCCTATAGAAATTTAGAAGACTAAGGATGTGTAAATTGTGGCGGCCTTTATAATACATTGGTGTACCAGTGAGTTCGTCTGAGATGATGGTAGAGATGATACATGTACACAACTCCCATGAGTTGATGGTCTAGTAGCTAAGCTCTGGCAAGTGGAACACGGTTTCCTGCTGCCTGGGTTCAGCCTGTCAACTACCACTTTGTCTTTTTTCAACCTCACTGATGGTGGGTATAAAGGCAAAATTTCAACTACTGATCTCGGGTCACTCATGTGGCGCAAGCAGTAGAAGTGGGGACTACCGTAATAAGGTTCCGGTGTAGAGAGACAATCCGGGCTGGAGCTGGTAGGTGTCCAGAGCACTGGCTGGGAACAGCTCTGGTTCCTCCCCGTACCCACTCTCTGTTTGACAATACTCATGTGCTTAAGTCTTCCTAATAGGAAACTTGCAACCAATAGCAAATCTTCTATGTCAAAAGACTCTGTTTTTCCCTGAGTTGCAGGTTCTTTACATTAATCTCTTATAAACGTGAATCCTAAGTATACAAAATACAGCATACCAGGTCACAGTAGAGCAGCCAGGTCTCTGTGAGGCTCTCCACGACGTCCCTGTTCTATCCAAGTCTAGTGGGTGACGTGTGGACTGGAAACATGAGTCTGTCTACTCCACATGCCAAACGCCACCTCCTCCCCAGCCTTGAAAACCTAGAGAAACGACATACGATTGAGTTAGACAGGGATAATATGTTGTAGCTCATAGGTATATATACTCGTGATGACACAAAGCACACACGTGGTCTGGCGGAGGGGATACAGTAAACTGCGGCATCTTGCGATATTGAAAGTTACCCCGTGCACTTTTCCTACAACGGTCAGGGCTGACCTCGGAATGCAACTGTAAGCATCGGACTGGCGCGTAAATTTGTTTGTTCCATTCTGAAGGACTGCGCAGGGTGACAAGACGTTCCATAGCAAGACGGCTGCAGTTCGTTTGAGAACATACGAATACCTCTCTTCCAACATATGCTTCGCTCCCTACGCTGTAAGTTAAGATCTCTATCTCTATACGTCTCACTTACGATGCATGATTTTTCATCAGTGGACCACACTGGACTATAGAATTGATGGTGAGATAAACCCATGTGCTTTCACTTCCAGTAGTACATTGCTACTGCGTAATATACATTGCCATAGTATGGAGCTATTATTGCCTCACATAATCATATAGTGTGAAGCTCTATTACTCTCTCTCCTTTTGTCCATAAAATCACACCACATGTGAAACTGAAAAATTCACTTGTTGTGAGCCAACGAAACACTAACCACTGATCAAACTAGAGAAAGGGATGAATGGTATGAGCATAAATGTTCATTCAAGCGTGTTTCGTATGTGATGTGGGTGTCTATGTAGACAGCCTACAGAGAAAAGTTGGCCGGCGCAAAGATGTAGGAGAAATCGCACAACTACCACAACTTCACTTCTGGCAAGTACGTTACTATCGTTACTCAGCATAATGTATAGTGTGGAAATTTCGATGGATAAAAATATCTGCAAATTTTTTTGTGATATTTATAAGAAATGTGAATTTCTTTGCAAAAATCTAGAACAGCAAATGTCTTCTGTAGTGTATGTATAATGTTGCGATAATTGCTTCTCCATAGGAAATGTATTTTGGTATTTTTGTTCCATAGGAAATACGAGAAGACAGTGCCATGAGACACATCATATCATTCACAGTTAGTCAAATATTTACAGCAACTGTATCAGTGCAGTTCCTCAATTTTTCTTCTTCTTTCGTTCAGTGTGATGCTCCCTTTCTTGCAAGTCGCTCGTCTCAGCCGCAAATATTGAATTCAACGACACAAAAAAAGAGAGAGGAAGAGAGAGAGGGAGAGAGAAAGGAAGAGGGAGAGAATGGGAAGGAATTGCAAACTAGTGCAAAGCCTAAAACTGAGAGCAGCGAAGTAGGAAATGATGCAGCGAAGTGTGGTGATAGATCGACGAAAGAGAATGTAAAGATGGAAGAAGAAAATGCTAATGAAGAAAAGAGTGACAGTGTTACTGACTGTGGGCACATGGAGAAAGAGGAGAGCAGAGAAATTGCAAAGAAAGTCGAATTCATGACTTTGAAAGTACGTAAAGCCCTTTAGTTATTTGCCTTGTTGCAGGAATCTTTCGTTGGAGTGTCTTTTGACGACCAACTGCAACGTTTTCTGCAAAAAAGATGGAAAGTGGGGTTCATTTTGGAAAAGCTTTCTCCGCGAAAATCCTTTAAAACCTGCACTTCAAATTGAGGGAAATGCTTTTAACAGACATTATTTTCTGCATAATTTCACTTACACTTCTCAACACTATCTTTTAGATATATTTGTTCTTTTGTTGCTAACAGGTCAAAGGTCAGAGCTTCATGATTCACCAGATTCGGAAGATGGTGGGTCTCGTTATCGCCATAGTGAGAGGGTTTGCCCCGGAGACGACGCTCGTTGAGGCTTTTCAAAATGGGAAGGTTGATATTCCTAGAGCACCTGCATTGGGACTACTTCTGGAGAATGTGAGCCGTTCATATGTACTATACCAACTTAATCACTATCAAATTACTGGTGGATGATATTCTACTAGTACTAGCAGCTCAAGATAGATTTAAGGTCGGATTCAGAAGATTGCGAAAGAAAATTTCGAAACACGAATACACAGAGAAATGAAAAAGCACTGAAGTGCAAACCCTCGGCGAACTGCGCTTGCGCGATACCGCTAATTGATGGGCTGGGCCGTAGTATGCGTTTACTCGTGGTCTCCCGCTAGTAGCTCGCGGAGAGTCTGACACGGGCTAGCTACGGTAGTAGCTAGCATGCGGGAGTGATACACGCCCCTTCGTTTGGCGTCTGTGCACACAGATCAAGCACATCTGTCGAGGTAAGCCCGTGCTAATTGCATATTGCTGTTCACTTGCTTTTCACGTCATAACTTTGAACGCTGGTTTTTACGAAAACCGCCAGTTTTAAAATCAAGCAAATGTAGCGCCGAACCCGTGGGTAGAGTTTTGGCGATCTTGTTGCGTCTAGTGGCAGAAAACGTGAACGCAGATGCAGACACACAGACACACAGACAGACACACAGACACACAAACCAAGTACCGTAACCCTCGCTGCGCATGCGCGCCGAGGGTTAATCATGTGCACACACAGACTGACACACAGACACACAAACCAATTACAGTAACCCTCGCTGCGCATGCGCGCCGAGGGTTAATCATGTGCACACGCGCTGCTGCCATATAATTATTGCTATAATGCGAAATAAGCTACACAAGTTATTTTGCGGAGTGCACTGACGTAGTATCATTTGTATGCAAGTATGCCTCTCTGCAACAATGTGCACGACGAAAGTGCAGTCACCAAGGAATGGTGATCTCGCGTAGTTACGCAACCTTCTTCTTCTTCTTCTTTGTAACCTCCACTAAAGGAGAGTAGCCTATTGAGTGGGCAATGAAGATGCAGCAGCTGACAGTTGGTCGAGGCGGGCTGTGTAAAGATAAATGGAGAATGTGAGCCGCTTTGAAAGTACGTAAAGCCTTTAGTTAACCATGTGTGCACAGGGGGCGGGGTCAGTCTGAACCCAATGGACTCTAGATCCACCGCTGACGTTGAGAGGTACGCTTGCGCTTGCCGATTACAGCAGTTTGCAATACTTTGTGTAAAAAATAAAATCTCACGATTTACAGTAGAGAGACAAAAACAAGAGTGCAGTAGAGCTTCAACAAAATTAGGTACGACTTGCAAAAAAGCTAGTGCATGATGTGGCGATATTACACAGACACAGGCAGTGTAAAGGTATAAATGGATAACAGATAATCTAACATACATAAAATAAACAATACCGATTGCTAATGTGAGTGTTTGCATTCCTATGGTAGCTTCTTTGTATTAGCATTGTGTTGTGTGGGAGCATTCACTTGAATATTTGAACTCGATTGTTGTGTGTCACTGACGTAGATGTAGCCATCATCTCGGGCAGCTATGGCATATGGGTATTGAACTACTCGTCTTTGTCCCTATCTTCCCAAATGACATGATGTACTTGCCATTCTCATCAAATACTGATACTCTGGCACAGCCGCATTCAAGCACATACACCCAGTCATCAGTTCCAACTGCCACACTGATTGGTTGTCCTAGTCTCTCTCCTGCTCCGGTGTTAGTGAGGATGATAGGTGATGTCATTGGCATCAAAATCTGAACTCTGTTATTGCTAGAGTCAGCTACTAATACATTTCCATTTCTACTGACAGATATTCCCTCAGGCGTGTGAATTGACCTGCCTCACTTCCCCTACTACCAAAGCTGCCATGGAATGTCAAGTCATGGTTGAGGATTGTGATGCGATGGTTGCAAGTGTCACAGACATACACTCTGTTGTTGGTATGGTTGTAGGCTATGGCAATGGTGTGTCGAACTGCAGTTGTCCACTGCCCTTGAACCCACTGATGCTATGAACCGACCCTCAAGAGTGAATTTCTTCACACAGTGGAGGCAGCCACAAACACTGTGTTATCAGAAGAGATGGCTACTCCTAGTGGTGCGTCAAGTCTGCTTTCCTCTGGTCCTGTGTGTCCAAATGATCGCAGCAGTCTGTGATTGCCGTCAAACACCTTCATACAATTAGAACCCCTCTCACAAACAACCATTTCACCAGTTTTGGCAAAAGCAATGTGACGTGGCATCTTGATCCCACCAATGGTCTTGACATGCTGGAACCTCTGAACAAACTTCACCTCTCCTAGTTTTCGACATGCTGAGCTCAAGTCTGCACACACTACACTAATCTCCTTCTCTGGACCCAACACCAGTTGCTGAGGTTTGAACTCGTCTGCCATCTCCCGTGCCCTCCCTCCACTTGTCTCTTCATCGACAGCACCTCCTCTTGTGTGCCACTCTGCAGACTCCCCTCCACAAACTCCACACAGCTGCTCAGCTGGGCCTGCCTCAACTCGTGTCCGTCGATCCGGGCCGCCAGCTCCTTCTTCCCCTGACACACCTGACCATCTATCTGGGAGTGAAGCTCCCTTCTGCGAGCATCTAGGATTGCCTGAAGCTTGTCTACTTCAGCATTCACCTCTGCCTTTGCCTCTATACCCTGTCCGTCTAGCCTGCTAGATCTTGCCTTCAGCTGTGCAATGGTGCTCCCTACACTAGCAAGCTCAGATTTGACGGGACGTAGGCAAAGCAAGGATCGCATCTCTGTGTTTCGGGAAGGCATCGGGGATGAGGTCGTAGTTGTGGTCGCGATGGGTCTTGACGGTGCAGTCGCGACAAATCAACTCGTCGCACGTCTCGCAGTAGATCTTGGTCGGCTCTGTTGCGTGTTTCGAACACATGGAGCTCACCTTTTTGGGTGTCACCATTTTCGACGCCGTTTCTTGCACCTCGTCGAGGCTAGCGATTTCGTGCCCCTGTAATTCCTTCCACTTGCCATGCATGGTAAGACAGAGCTGGCAAATGAACTGGCCGCAGTCCCGACAGAAACCCTTCACCTCTCCCTCCCCGCATTTATCGCACTGCGCCTTCTCCGGGTCCCGCACTTTCTCCAGGACCTCTCTCACCTCGAAAAGGTGCTGGATGTAGAAGGCAGCGGGGAGGCTGGACACGCCCCCTTCAGGGAGAGGGGCGGGCTTGCGGCAGTTGGGGCACGGGGCGCTCAGTTTGTCTCTCCGTGTCCCGACCAGTTTCTCCAGACAGGTCTCGCAGAAGACGTGGAGACAGGGCAGCACTCTGGGTCTCCGGTACTCCTCCAGACACACCGAACACGACAGCTGGTGTGATAGCTTCTCCAGCGCTTGCTGGCCGGATTTGGGGCTTTTTCGCGTGGTGTGCGATTTTGTGCGTTTTTCAGCCATGCTGCAGAGTACACAAGGATAGATTATGTATGAGGCCCTGATGCATTGGTCATCATTGGGTCTGTTACAGGTTGAAACTAGAAGGCCCTTTGGCAGTTTTGTAGATTAAGCTCCCAGCATGCTACTGTAGCTCAGCACCATTTAAACCCCTCCATGCTCCATGAAGTCCCACCCATACTCTTATAGCTTTATGCAATAGCTACACACACATTTTTGTTTCCTTACCTAAGAATCTTTCAAATATGAAATCAGCAGAGAGAGGATTAGCTTGTAGCCAAAAAACAGCCTTGAAAAGTGTTGCGGAACAGAAACACAGTTACACCCCAAAACCCACTGAAGACAATATTCATGGATTGGGTCCACATAGTGGGAGGCACACACTATCAATGAATACTGTCCTTACAATCACGCCACTCTGTCAGGAGATGTTGTGTGCACATTCAACATTCCTAATCCATGATGCATGTAGCTATATGTATGCAATCAAGTACTGTATATAGCTGCAAGTGGAAAGGGCTCTAGCTTGTATTCAGACCAACTCACTTTTCCTCAATCTGTATAATGTATAATGACCTACCACAACTTTCAGGAGTTTCGGTGTGCACTTAGATAAATGCTAGCTTACTAGTGGTTCATGGTCAATGCATCCATTCAAATGTACTGGTGGGTTACACAGGTGTTTTCGATGCCTACAACAAGAAGTTTGGCTCTGACGGATCCCACGAGGCACTGGACTGGAAGGAATGCACTGAGAGAGTTGATGAGTCAAGAGACAGTTCATACATCAGAATATCATTGACACTGAGATCGATGATATGTCGTATCCTTTTTACACTGCTGCCTCAGTTGGTAGAGCCCTCTCTAGAACACAGAGTGCTCTGCTTTGCTCTTTATGAGTGATTCGGCCCAGCCAGCTGAGCTGCCTCAGTAGCTCAGTTGGAGGCCCTCTCTAGAACACAGAGATCTCCTTAACACAACAAAAACCTAAGAATGATGCAGTGGCTCGGGAATCTCCTTCAGATTCACGATTTCTACAGCACAAAGCAGAGACTGTTAAGTGCACAACGTTCAGAAGAGCGCTCACCCCACACAATTTTCAACACTTGTTGGCACCCGTCCCGTGGTACCCACACCCCCATTGTGTAG